TACTGGGAACATTCCCCGAAAATTTCAGCCTGCCAGCTTCCCTAGTTTCCAAGCTAGCGTTTTTCGCGCCAGGAGCCGTTACGGGATCGTATACGGGAACTATGCATACCTGAGGGCCAAATTTGAAATCTTTCAGTTCTATTCGGATGGAGAATATAATCTCAAAATTTCAGCTTTCTAGCTTTACTGGTTCCCCAGTCAGCGATTTTCCCATCAAAACTTTCACCCTTTCGTGCGCGGGGTCTAGACTTGCGTGAAGGTTGGTACTGCGGTCCTGGAGTGACACTTGGTCGGGGAACCCACTGGCAAAATTTTGGCGCCGAAGACTGCTTGGTGCCGAGCTGAAATACCTGGGCAGACGCACACACATACACACACGCATGCACACACGCACACACACACATACACACACACAAACACACACACAAACACACACACAAACACACACAAACACACACACACACAAACAGACACACATACACACACGCACGGGGACCGTCACAATATGCGTTTCTGCACTTGCATATAAGGAAAAACGCATAATAACTGTAGAGAAGAGCGGTTTGGTGAATTAGGAGGTTGTAATTTTACAAGGATATTCTATACCCATATACGATTTAAACAGTTAAGAATTAGCTTTAAAGCTCGCATATGCGTGAGCGTAAGCGAAAGCCTGGCATCTACTCGAAACCAGACTGAGCAGACAGCAATATTTTTCTGAGGGTGTTCGCTGCTTACCTGCGGAACAATAGGCATGAAACGAGCTTTTGCCCGAGCAAGCTGATGCAAAAAGATTGCAGAGAGGTGTAGACTTGGAAAGAGGTTACTAGTTACATTTATCTCGGGCAAAAGGAGCAAATGTGCATCGTCATCTCCAGCGGCACGTCAAAGGGCCGCCGATTGGAGGCTGCCGGCAAATTCCACAGTATAGCTGATGCTCTCAAAGTGCCGAACCGGAAGGACATTTTTGTTTTGTCAGTACCGCTGTGTTGAAGGCAGTAACATACAGATGCGAAACATGTTCACCTACGAAAGCTGAAGAGCAAGCGCTAACTGCGACAGAGAACGGTGGAGCAAGGGAAGCTTGGCACATCTCTCTGTGACCATATGAACAAGCAGACTCTCCGTCAAATGAACAACGAGCAGGATGTCATTACGATCACGCGAGAAAGCAAAATTAGATGGGCAGGGCATATCGCTCTCCTTAGCGACGACCGGTAGGCGATATGCATTACTGAGTGATGTCTGAGGGGAAGCAAGAGCCTGCTTAGGTGAACCCAAGCGGTGGCGCACACACATCGAATAGGTGTGCGGTCGAAGGGTTTGGCATAGTTGCGCTGGGCGTGTGGGAACATCCCAGTAATATCATTAACAGAGGATACCCACAGTGATAATTCGAGGGGTCTTAGTATTCTTGGTATATGCCAGCATACATACACCTCAACTGTTCAAACTGGTAATCAGAACGGCAAGAAAGCTGGAATTTTATAAAAATACTGCCTTATTCTCTGAGGCTCAAAAAACGCAATAGCAGCTTTCAAGCATCTCGTATACCGGGGCGCCAAATTTCAGGCTGTAAAAACATTGCAGCACCGACAATATCGGTAAGCCTCGTTACTAGTTGAATACTGAAATGTCACCTGCAGTGAACGACTACTGGTCCAGCAGAGCCATAGAGTTGTAGAAATTCGTTTCTGTAAGTCTCCATTGCTACTATCGCCTTGAGAACTTGAGTGATATGATGCGTGGGCAAACGATGATCCAGCCAGTTCGTGAACCAGACATGTCTGAGGTGATGCTCTGCACCACCACACTATAAATTGTTTGAAAGTAGAAACCGTAATATTTCGCACTGACCAAATGCACGCATCACAGATCGGCGTTGGAACTTCCATATCAGACAGAGTATCTTCACTGCGTCAAATTTCGACAAAAACTGTTCAGAAAATGTGTACCTCTAGAAGAATGTGGCGAATTTGGATGCCACTATGGCAGCTCGTCGATATCACCGAAACATTAATGTTGCCATAAATAGCGCCATCATCTGGCCAGTACTTCTCACATTTTTTCTGAAAGTCTGACGAAATCGTAACTTTGGGAAGTTAATGACTTTACTGGACGTTTCAAATTTCCAGTCTGGAGAAGACCCTCTATATTCAAAAATATGAGGTTTGATCAAATTTTGTTGGAAAAACAAACTTGAACTCGTCCAGTGAG